TAGAAGAAACTTTTTGTTTTTTCACGATATTTCGGATAACATATATAGAAGACCGGGACATGATTTGATTTAGGCTAGTAAAATGTAGAAGGGCTTTCGAAAGAAGAAAATCAGTCTGTCAGTCTTGACATTACAGGAACATAAAAAAAGTAGAATAACGGAAAAAAATTGTGAGAATTAATTTTAGATAAAAGTAGAAGAAAATGTTATTCACCGATGAAATGTATAAAAGGGATTTTTTCAACAAAACTTTTTCAACATTTCTGAGTTGGAAGTAAAAGAAACTCTTCTGTTTACCTCTTCGGTCGGCAGACAATTAGCTGAAAGTAGAAGAAACTGATTGTTTTACATGATATCTTCGTCGAAGACAAAAATCTTAACTTTTTTTTCATAAACGTAAAGGAAGCTTTTGATCGCAGGAAAGGTAGAACAAGGCTGTTAAAAGTAGAAGAAGATAACAAAAAGTGAAAAATCGAACTGAGTTCGTTGAAAATAGAAGAAAATCCTGTTTTTTCGTTCTAATAAAAAAGAAAAAATCGTTATATTTTGGATTTAAAAAAATAGAAGAATGGAAACGTTTTTAAGAAAGCTAAATTAAAAAGTAAAAGAAAGTTTGGTCCTTTCATTACGAATTAACAAATATAGAAGAACGAGGAAGAATTAAAAGTAGTTAGCCTTAGTTAAAAGTAGAAGAAACTATTGTTTTTGTAAGATTGTTTGATATGTGGAAGTTTATTCTACTTTTAACACTAACAAAAGAAGATAACTAAAGTGCTAAGTTGAAAAAAAAGTATATATGTAAGAAAGGGAAACAATTTAAGGGGTTTGTCCAAAGGTAGAAGATAATTCGGGTTTTCCCTTGAATTTCGAACCGACAAATCTAACAAGGCTTGACTGAAATTAAAAGAAACTTTGGTTTTCCCTTGTGCAAATGCACAATAATTGAACCGGGTTTGGTTGAAAGTAGAAGAAATGGTTGTTTCTCTTACTTTAGGCAGAAAAAACGTCGAATTTTGTTTGTAATTTTGGTCGGGGGAAAAATAGAAGAACGATAAAGAATCTAATTTTGGTGGAAAAAAAATATAGAAGAACCAAAAAAAGTAGAAGAAACTTTGGTTGCATCAATTTTGGAAAAACAAATGCAGAAGAAAGATAAATAATTAAACTGGGTACAATTAAAAATAGAATAATTCCGGGATTTTTCCTTTATATCCCCCCCCCAAAAAAAAGAGTTTTTTTCGCAAGAATTTCGGATTTTTCTTCTAGTTTTAGTTTTGTCTTAAATGCATTATTCTGCAGTTTTTCTTCTACTTACAGTTTTATCACAAGCATGCAAGATTTCCTTCTACTTCATTTTGTATAATAATTGCATTCTTCTTTTGGGGGTTTTTCGTTTTCCACTGCCATTTCTACCATAATTGATTTCTTCCACATATAGTTTTATTCTTCTACTTGCAATTTTTAATATAAATGCACTCTACTTCAAACATTTTTCTTCTATTTCCATTTTTTAACACTGCATTTTTTTCAAACAGACATTTCTTCTACTTCCATTTGAATCATAATCGATTTCTTCTACTTACAGTTTTGTCATAATTGATTTCTTCTGCCATATAGTCATTTTTCTGCAGTTATGCTTTTTCTTCTACTTTCATTTGTATCATAATCGATTTCTTCTAATTCCAGTTTTGTCATAATTGATTTCTTCTACTTGCATTTTTGTTATACCCGCGTTCTTCTACGTACGGTTATTTCTTCTATTTCTGTTTTGTCATAATTGCATTCTTCTGCAGGCGGAATTTTCTTCTATTTACTTTCTTTGCTATAAATTCTACAAACAAATATTTCTTCTACTCCCAGGCTTTTAATAACTGCATTCTTCTGCTGACGGTTTCTTTTCTTCTACTTCCATTTTGATTATTTTCGTAGATAGTTTTTCTTCTATTTTCAAGTTTTGTCATAAATTCATTCTTCTAAAGGCATTTTTTCTTCTACTTCCAGTTTTTTCATAAATTCATTTTTGTACAGGCATGTTTTTCTTCTACTTTCATGTTTTTAAAAATAATTTTATTTTTTTGCGGGCGGTATTTGTTTTTCCGCTTCCATTTCTTTCATAATTGGATTCCTCTTCAAATAGATTTTTCTTCGACTTTCATTTGTTCATAAATTGGATCATTCTGCAGTCATTTTTTTCGTCTACTTCCATTGTTCTCATAATTGATTTTATCTACAAACAGACATTTTTTTAACTTCCAGTTTTCTCATAAATCTATTCATTTTTTCTTATATATATATTTTTAAATAACTGCAATCTCTTGCCGGCAGTTTTTCTTTTTCTACTTCTATTTCTGCCATAATTGTTTCCTTCTAAACATGTTTTAATATTATTTCGATTTTGTCGTAACGGCATTCTTCTACATTTTTTCTTTTACTTCGTTCTTTATCATAATTGATTCGTTCAACCGTCAGACATTTCTTCTACTTACAGATTCATTCTTCTGCAGATAAATTTTTCTTCCACTTAAATTTTTTAATTAATTGTATTCTTATGGGGACTTTTTTCCTTTTTCCACTTTCAGTTTTTTCATAATTGATTTCTTCTGAGGTTAGTTTTTCTTTTACTTTGATTTTGTCATAATGGTATACTTTGGCAGATTTTTTCTTCTACTTTAATTTTTGTTATAATTGATTTCTTGTACTTCCAGTTTTGTCGTAAATTCATTCTTTGCAGGCAGTTTTTTCTCCTTCTACTTTATCATAATTGGATTATTTTTTAACCCTTTTTTTCGTGTACTTCTAATTGGCCAGAAAAGGATTTCTCCATAAACAGTTTTTTCCTATATCCAGTTTTGTTATAAATTCGTTGTTTTTATAGGAATATTTTTCTTCTACTTCTATTTTTGTTCATATAATTGCGTTCTTCTGTAAGCAGTTTTCTTCTACTTCCAGTTTTGTCAGTTTTTTGCAGCTTCCTTGTGGTTCAATTTTTTGTCATATGTGCGTTCTTTTAGACATGGTTTTTTTCTTCTACTTCCATTTTTGTTCATATAATTGCGTTCTTCTGTAGGCAGTTTTCTTCTACTTCCAGTTTTGTCATTTTTCTGCAGGTTCCTTGTGCTTCAATTTTTAGTCATATGTGAGTTCTTTTTTTTAGACATGGTTTTTTCTTCTATTTCCATTTTTGACACAGTTCCATTCTCTCACAAGCAGTTTGTCATCTGCTTCCAGTTTCGTCATAACTTCTCCTGCAGATGGTTTTTTCTTTCTACTTTTCCCCAAGCGTTTGTAATTTTTGTTTTTTACACACACACACAAACACGCTCGCGCGCGTCAACTGGACACCCCCATTGAGGTCAATTATCGTCGGGTGTCAATAATTGTCCTGCCTCCGTGCCGAAGTCAAGGGGGAAAATGAGAAATAGATTTCAATTGAAATCAAAAGTCGAATCGTAACACCGATAGGTAATTGTTATAAAACACCCGTTGGATTAATTAATTGGGTTAAACGGTCTCGTTGAAATTAACTTTCCAGTTTTTTGTTTTTATTTATTGTTTTAAATTAAAATTAATTTAATGATAATAATAGTTCATCACGGTTGCTTAACTAATTCCTCTACCACTTGTTTGTTTTGTTAGTTCAATTAATTATTCACCGACACTGAATGGTATATATATTTTTTTGTTTTAACTGTATCCTGATAAGGCAAAAGTTGAGATTTTTGAGGAAAAATCACCAGAGAACGCGAAAAATCGGTTTTTCGCTTGTGCTGAAAAGCACAGAAGATTGAATGAAACACAAAGTGAACCTGGTCAAATTTCAAAAATCGAGACGCCGTTTTAAGCTGATCCGATAAGGACTAATCGTCAAGCATTTAGGACAAGAAAAACGTTCATTTTATATATTAAAAATGGGCGAAAAAAAATCTCTATACTTTAGGCTTTCAATTGTACAAAACGTCAAAGGATGGTTATTTTGGGAAGGATTTGAGATAGGTGAAAGAGCGAGACGAGACGGACCGTGAATTTTTATAAACAAACGGCAGACAGAGAGAAAAAAAAGGGAAAACAAATTATCTCATAAACCAGTCAATTGAATAATAATGATAAGGCGCGGGGGGATTCCGTTACGTGTTTATTTCCATAAATTAATATTTAATCGGGAGATAATTAACAATTACATATCCACCTGCTTACCGGAGAAAAATTGGTCAGGCGACGGTTGCCTGGGAGAGGGGTAAAGGAGAGAATTAGCGAGAGATAGCGATGCCGCATATCGCCACTTCCAATTTGTTCCATCTCCGTATTTTTTCTTTATAGTTAGACCTTGTAATTTCTCTAAAAGAGTATGAAAAACCTTTTAAGAAAAAAAAATCCACGCGCGCATTCGAAAAAATCCCAACCCCGCCTCCAGCCCACGCCGTGCAGAAAGGCGCAGAACATGAAATGTATCGTGGACATGAACCGAGGGCTATTTGAAATTTCGAAACGCCGTTTTAAACGTGAGACGGCACACTGTAATTATCAACTATTAAAGAAAGGATAAACGATAAACCGGCTGGGGGAGGGGGATTGACTTTGTTGGAAAGTCCCCCCTCGGTCTGGGGGCCCCCTAAGGGACTTATGGGCTTTTAACGATAATATTTTTTTACAAAAAAGTTCTTTCTTCAGCAAATTGAAAATTAAAAGAAAAGAAAACAGGAATAATGGAAATTTTATTACAGTCTCTCTCTCTAACTCTCTTTCACTCTGTCTCTCTCTCTCTCTCTCTCTCTCTCTCTCTCTCTCTCTCTCTCTCTCTCTCTCTCTCTCTCTCTCTCTCTCTCTACCGCTTACTTTTTCCCTTTCAATCAGGAACAATTTTCAATTAGTCAGCCCTTTTACGGATGGAATTACGCCTTTTCCGGGTGAAAATCGTACATAGTTCGTTATTCAAAAACACAGAACATAAGGACAAGATAGAACATGAACATAGGAATTTCGGGGATCAGGTGGCACCGTTTTAAACGTGAGACGGCCCATGTTAATAATCAAAAGTGAAAGACAGGATTGGTGACGTTCTAAAGGGTTGATCAAAGTTTTTCAGGTAGTGATTCGTGATTTTTTAAGTCGTTTTTTCCATTTTGCTTTCTGGGGTTGGGTGTTTGGAAATTGCTCAGTGCTCTGTTTTTCCGGTTGGCTTTTCCCGCTCGTTTGGCTAATACCGTCACCGCTAGATCCTCGGTCGAGATAAAGTTTCGAAAATCTGGGCCGGAAAAATAGTTTTCACCTGAGCCCTCCCCCCAGTCTTGGACGGATTTAGAATCCTTTCACACCCCTCGAGCCGTTGCGGGGTTTTTCCAGCCGGGACGTAACCCCTTGGGCCCTTTCCCCGACCACCCCCCTGGTCGAAAAACGGAAACAAAGCCCCAAATTGGGAAAGTGGCAATTTCCCCCCGGTGGACGGAAATTTTCTCACACGGCTCGAACAAATTAATCCGGCCCGGTTTCCGAAGGGTTTCGGGGCAGAAAGTACAAATTTTCCCCGAGATTGTCGTAGTTAGTAGTTTTGTGAGGGAACACGACGAGGCTGCGCGGACCAGAAAGATACCCGTGGGTGATTAAAACGGAACGCCAAATCACGTGATGTTTCCCATTATAAAAAGCAGACCGAAACAAACACCGATATTAATCAAAGCAATTAGACACCAGGTATGTGTATGAATCTATACATGGAATAAATAATAATAATAGTTATTTTGTTTATGGATTTTTATTTAGGAAAGTCTCATGTTTAAAAAGACGTTTTGGTGTAGAAATCAAACGAGGTTCTTTTTGTCTTTTGTATGATGATTCTATGTTTTTTCCGCGAAAATTAACTTTAATATCGATATTTAACACGGATAATTATTGTTATTTGTTTCCTTGATTATTGTTTGTTATACTGGACTGTCTCAGGTTTAAAAATACTTTTTTACTTTTGAAATCTGACTAGGTTCTCGTAGTCGTGTTATTTGATGTTCTGTGCTTTTCTTTGAAAATCAAGTTTAATATCAATATTTAACATGGATAATTATATTTTTTTATTTTATTCTTTTTTACAAGGGTTCGCAACAGCGGAAGTTATATAAACCCTCAGGGTGCCGGTGTTTTTGAAAAAAAGCCCATTTGTAAGTATTTCGGGTTAGAATGCAGGGCTACTGGATTCGAACCCGGGACTTTTACCTTACAATGATGAGCGCCGTGTCAACGCTTAAACTTTAAGGCCATCGACGCACCATGGATTAATTGTTGTAATCTGTTTCTTTGATTATTGTTTGTTATTCTAGATTGTCTCATCTTTAAGAAGTTGGTTTTGGTTTTGATATTAGATGAGGTTCATTTTTGGTTTTATTTCATTTTCTGGGCTTTCTCTCGAAAAATCAAATTTTAAAACAGTTTTTTTCCATTTGTATAAATTGATTTGTTTCTTTGATTATTGTTTGTTATTTTGGACTGTCTCAGGTTTAAAAAGACATTTTTCATTTTGAAATCTGTCGAGTTTCATTTTGTCGTTTCATTTCATGCCTTGTGCTTTCTCCTGAAAAATCAAACTTACCATCAGTTTTTGACGTGTACAATTATTATAATTTGTTTATTTGAATACTGATTATTCCTCTGAACAGTCTGTCGTTTCAGATGGCGTTTTTAACTTTCAAATCTGACGAGTTTCTTGTAGTCGTTTTATTTGATATTCTATGTATGTTTTCCCTGCAAAACGGCCTTTTTATCAATTTTTAAGACGGATAACTATTTTTATTTATTTCATTGATTGCTGTTTGTTATTCTGGACTTTCTCATGTTAAAAAGTTATTTTTCATTTTGAAATCTGACGAAATTCATTTTTAATTTTATTTCATGTTCTGTGCTTTTTTATTCTAAAAAATAAATCTTTATAACGATTTTTTAAATGAGTTATTATTTTTATTTGTTTCTTTGATTATTCTTTGTTATTATGGACTGCACCAGGTTTTAGAAATTGTTTTTGGTTTGAAATCTGACTAGGTTCTCGTAGTAGTTTCATTTGTAATTCTGTGCTTTTTCCTTAAAAATCAAACATAACAACGATTGTTAACATGGATAATTGTGTTATTTGATTCTTTTATTATTGATTGTTATTCTGGATTGTCTCGTATTTAAAAAGTTGGTTTTGATATTCGAAGAGGTTCATTTTTCGTTTTATTTCATGTTCTGTGCTTTCTCTCGAAAAATCGAACCTTAAAACAGTTTTTCCCCATATATAATTTGATTTGTTTCTTTGATTATTGTTTGTTATTCTGGAATATCTCAAGTTTAAAAAGATGTTTTTCCTTTTGAAATCCGTTGAGGTTCGCTTAGTCGTTTTGTTCAATGTACTGCGACTCATGTTCCACATTGTCCAATCTCATCAATTTGTTTTAAATATTTTTTGTTTACAGAAATGATGGAGCTCTCCTCGGGGGCGGAGAGGACCTGGTACACGCCCGCGGAGCCTCTCAGGTCCGACGAACAGGGCGACGTCGGCATCCTCGAGACACCCCAGTACCACGGCGTACCGGCACCGTACTACCACCACATACCACACTACGCGCCCCAACAAAACAGTAAGTAGAACCAAAAAAATTAAAAAATGGTGAAATTTGAGAGAATTTGGCGGTTGTTTTGTTTGGACCCAGCTGATATGGCCACCAGCCGGGTTTGGCTAATCCGATTAGGGCTGATCCCACACCCTCTCTTCCGAGACTCGTCGTTTAGCTCACAGAGGAGGGTCCAACTAACCGCATTCACCCTCCATAACCCCCGAAATTTAATAACACTCACAGTAGATCAACGATCATTGATCATTAACCTATGATCAATTGGATCATGAATCTTAAAAGCTCGCAAAACAAATGATCCAAATTTTCTCCAAAAAATGGTGCCACCTTTAATTTTCCTACTGGTTTCAGACCGACTTCAATTGTTTTGTTATAAGCATTAGGACTAACAGAAGTACGTTGAAACATGACAGGTTTATTACGAAAATCACACCAGGTCGAGAATAAATTCGATGGACATTAAATTCAGACTATGACCTGTGTTTATTTAGCACGATTTTTTATTCCTTGCTGGCATTTTGTTTTGATTTTTGTATGTACCTAATGATGTTGCGTCAGGTCTGACGATAAGTACTCGAAAAATGGATGTGTAAGGATGTGGAGTGATTTGGTGACACTAGGTTATCTCCTTGAAAAATCCCTTGACCCTAAAAAAACATACTAATATATTTAGTACTAATACTAACAAGTTGCAACGTAATAGGTTCAATCTTGATTTTTTCCCTAAACCATGGATAAAATTGATTATTTACCCGTGCTATGTTTTCTGAGTGACAGTTTATCCTAGCCGACGGTTATAATTTTTGCCATGTTTCTTTTCTTTTATCAGATATGATGTTAGTGAGGATGATTCGTCAAGTCACGATAATTAATCGAAAAATCGCAATGTAAGGTTGAAAACAATTGTGAAGTGATTTGGTGACACTAGGTTATCTCCTTGTAAAATCCCTTGTCCTTGAAAAAACTTAGTAATATATTTAGTACTAATATTAACAAGTTGCAAAGCAATAGGTTCGATGGCCTGGCCTGCTGGGTTTCGATCTGGTCTCAACCTTCCTTCTGCAGTGTCATCACTCACCTTCAATTTCGAAGATAAACGGTATATTTTTTGAATATTTGCCGTGCGTTTTCTGGGCCAGATGTCTGCCCGATTCGGCCGGGGAGGATTCGATCCTTATCGCCCCGTCCTCGGGTTAAGCGGGCGTGACAAATCTGAAATTATAAACTGGCGAGATGGACCGCGGCTGCAATTCGGCCAATGTCTTTTTTTGTTGCGTTTCGGTTCTTCTTCGAGCTACCTTGGCCATGGAAATACACGGTTTGAAGTGCCCACTGGTAAGTCGAGGAGGACGCTCAATTAAAGTCCCCCGGAAAAAAATCATCTAGAAACGATATTTTTCTACTTAGCAAAGTGCCGGTGGGATAACAGAAATTATCCTTTTAATAAACCCCTTTAAGGATACCGCGTCCTGTCGACCTGGCGGGGGGTGGACCGGGTCGGGGCCCCTCTCAGGTGTTTGGGAACGTAGAATCATCCCGGGGCGAGACCGGTAATTTCGGGATTAGGGACCGTGGTAACGGCCACGGAAAGTTTGTGTTTATAGGAAAATAAAGAAAGGAGGAGGGAAGAAGGGGAAAAAAAGGCCCGAGAGAGCTATCCTTGTAATGACATGGTTACAGGCTCTCGGGGTTACTGTAATTTTCGGAATCCCCCTCCCCCCTCTTCCAGGTCCAAAAAATCGTTTTTGAAATTATAGTTTGTGTATGTAAAACAGCCCGGGCGGCTCTGCCCTTCGGGTGGCTTACCAACTCGGCCGGAACGACTCGCCGGTAGAAGACGAGAAATCTTCTTTCCCTCTGTAACAAAACCGAAATCAAATTTGCAGAATCTCCTTACAAAACACCCTATTTGTACCATTAAAAAAACCAGCTATAAAGAAACCCCAAAACTCCCAGCAAGTTAAGCCAAAAATTGTGACGGTACAAATTCTGTTTTTCACGATAAATATTTAAACAAACCTCTTAATATTAAACAAGATAGCTTTTGTCCCGTTTCATTCCGCCATGGACCACTTTGTGCTTTCGTACTGCGTTTTTTCCTAATTTTACATTCTTGTGCGTCTCACTCGAACAATTTTTATTTAATATCTCCTGTTCTACGCGAGACGGCTTAATATTTCAGATGTCGCGGTCAAGAAAAAAATAACGTAGCAAACTTTCTTAAATCCATGTTCATTTACCAGCAAAATTTACATGGACGACTTTTATCCATCCAAAAAAACATCAAGGTATTGAGTACTCTTACTTTCTCTAGCTTATCCAAAAATGTTAATAAATCGGACGAACTTTCTCATTTCTTTTGATCCAAAATGTAACGTAAATCTTTTTTAATCCATGTTCATCCAAAGCGCCCAAAATGTAAAAGAAGGACGACCTCTGTCCGTCCAAAACACGTCAAGACATTGAATAGTCGTACTTTTTCTCGCCATATCCAAAACTGTTTACAAAACGGCCATAATTTCCCATCTATTCTGTCCAAAATGGCGGGGAATCATGTCACAACCCATGTCTTTCCAAAACGTCCAAAATAGTAAGGTAGACGACTTTCTCTCATCCAAAAAATTCAAGACATTGAATAATAGCACTTTTTCTAGTTGTATGCAAAACTGTTCACAAATATCATGTACTTTCTCATCTCTGTCTGTCCAAAATGGCGGTGAAATCATTTCTCAATCCATGTTTATCCAAAACGATCAAAATTCACGAGGAGGCTGACCTCTGTCCATAAAAAAAGTCAAAGTAATCGTACTTTGTCACATCCTATCCTCAAAATATAAAATAAATATTTTCTCAATCCATGCCCATCCAAAATTTTCAAAATTTCAAGGAAGGGAGAATTCAGTCTATCCAAAAAACGATAAGACATTGAGCAACTTTACGTTTCGTCCAATCCAAAACTGTTCACAAATGGCTAATACCTTTTCATTTCATTTGGGACAAAATATAAGTTAAATCTTGTCTCAATCCATGCCTGGCCAAAACGACCAAAATGTACAAGAAGGGTGCCCTCTGTCCGTCCAGAAAACGACAAGACATGGTAAATCATACTTTGTCTCGTCCTTTCCAAAACCGTGCACAAATGGACCACACTTTCTCATTTCGTTTAGTCCAAAATGTAAGATGAATTTTTTCTTAATTCGTTTCTATCCACAACGACCAAAATTTGCAAGAAGGACGACTTGTCTATTGAAACGACGTGAAAACATTGAGTAATCGTACTTTGACTCGTCCTATCCAAAACCGATCACAAATCTCCCGTACTTTCTCATCTATCTCTCTGCCCAAAATGATCTTTTAGTAAATCTTTTCACGTCCAATGTCTATACAAATGTTAAAAGAGGCCAAAAAACGATTAACACGACCCATATTGCTCTAACCAAAAAGAAAAAAAATCTAAAAATCACACGTACTCTTTAATTTATTTTGGTCCACAATGGCGTGAAATTTTTTCTCATCCTTTGCTTATTAAAAATGATCTAAAAGTTATAGGATAGCCGACCTGGGTCACCTTTCATCTAATCATTATATTTCTCTCATCTTTCTCGATTCTAAACACGCCATCAATCCACAAATACTTTCACGTCCATGTCGCTACTATTTTTTAAAATAAAAAAACTCTTATAATCTCTAGATAAGAAGTTTATATTGTACAAACACATATTTTTGGTTAGGTCGATTTATGATAATGATCAAGCATGATTCTATGCTGTATTTTTTTTGTCCTGAGTGATAGTTTTCTATTAGTATTATGACGCTGGATATTATGAACTTTGTTCCATTCGATTATGCCTAGGTCCACTACGTGCTTTCCTTCTGCGTTTTTTCCTCATTTTACATTATTGTACGTCCTATGTGAACTGTTTTTATTTAATATCTTTTGTTCTAGTGGTGCTAGAAGGTCGGGGGGCGGCTTAAAGTTTTCCTCTCATCGGTCCGGACCCAAAAAACCCTATTTTGTGTCAAACGGCCAAAACAGATAGCTTTGAGATCCCAAACGGGAGATAGCCGGCCCTAATACATTAGTAGCGCTTTTTGAATGATCAAAAGAGGCGCCTTTCGCTATCGAATGGTCCTTTTTCAAAAGCGATGTAGGGCTCAATTTGGCCGAAAGCCCTTCACTCCCTTCTCGCAGAATTGAAAGGATGGGCCCAATAAAATGAGATAAGGGCCTTCAATGACACGCCCTGAATGCATATCAAGATGGACGGACAAAGTGTCAAACAGGAATAATCTTCTTGAAAGGATTTTTTTTAAAGGGGGGGGGGGTTGCGTGTAAAGCAAATGGATGAAAGTGTAAAGCCTCGTCAAGTCTGACCTCTGATCTGACAAAGTGTTTTCCATGACAATCGCAAGAGGAGAAGCTTTTTTTAAGTTTAATAAACCATCCATTTCGAACCAGTTCAAAACCAGAAAATTTTTATGGCAAAGTCTGTTTTGTGGTTTCAATTCTGATATGCCCATGGTATTTCCACAGCATGAGTCCGTCGTGCTTCGAAGTGCTTAAACAATACATTCTGTCGCATTGAATAGTCTAAATTGTTGAGGATTTTTCATGAATTACCGACGGTCATGAAAAACGAGCGGTGCCACCCTATAGACCGAAAATTTTGGCAACGGTTCTCAACCCTTTGGGTTAACTTTCCTGGCGGAACTTTTGTAAATGCTTATAGCCTTGATCGGCTTCTAATTACATACTGGACATATAAAAGTTTTTCATGAGTGTTCCATTGAAAATTTCATATGGACATGGATATTTCCAATGCCAAACTGGTTATTTTTGAATTTTTTCTCCTAGTGTAGTTTTTTTAAAAGTTCATATTTTTAAATGATATTTTTCTCATGATAGTTGGTCATAGAGCACAAGTGAGTCATCGTTTAAAAACGCACCGGTGTAGTAGGGAAAAAAAGGGACACACCGCGTGGATCAGAAGAAAAATTCCTATATC